TGTATCGAATTATTGCCTATATCGAACGGTTCCTATATCACGCGGGAAATCGCATGCATTATTGATTTTTATTTCGAACAAAGTTTGACATATAATGGATATATAGAACTCAGCCCCCCCATTGCCCGCGTCCATTGACAGGCGGCGAGCTTTCCCGCAACTCTCAAAAGTAGCGGTAGAGTGCGGGGTTTACGAATGCTGCACACATCGATGGCGCCGAGAGCGCCACTTTAACGTAGCGGCGTACGCGCGCCGCAGCCTTGCGGTAGAGGTTCTTAAATGAGGAAATACGAAGGCACCGACACGGCTTCGCGCGGGGAAGGGGGAGTGGGAGGTAAGACTGAGGAGGAAAGTATAGGGGGAAAGGACGCAGACGACTGTCTCGGACGCGGCCCGCGCTGCCGCCAGGAAAGAAAAAGCAGTCAGGCGAGCCGGCATGGGCGCGCCAGTGTTTTAAATTTCGGCATTCCGATAGTTCGGCCTTTTGATTTTCGGCGTTTTGAATGCCACCCTTCAAACACAGGTATCGGAATGGCATAGAGAACCGTGTCACCACGGGACGTGGCTATGTTTAATGTGCGTTTATTTTTTCCGCAAATATGTAGCATTGAGTTTCTACCTTTTTCTGGTACCGTGGTTGCTCACCTACGTGTTACACGAGATCATGGTGGCAAGCTGTTGGCGTCATATGCAAGAACGACGAACTTAGCCTTGAAGGATACGAAAACAACGGCAGAAAATTTCGTGAACGCAAGCTGGCATCCAGCAACAGTGTAATGAAACAACACGGCTCGAAACGAAAATCACGTCGCACATGCGCACTAGTACAGATGAAAGCGCACGGATGGCTGTACGGACAGATGGATGCATGAACGTACGCACGGATGTACGCACGGATGGCCGTGCGGACGCACGCACGGCGGGTGGATGGACCACGGACAGTCACAGAAACGGACGCATGGACGGACGGAAGCAAGAATGAATGGACGGACGGATGCTTCGCCCATTCTCCATCATTCACCCCATGGATATGCTGCCATTTTTTTTCTCTCTCTCTTAGCCATATTTCCTCATCTAGTTGCCGATTAGCTGTTCTTTGCCCGTATATAGTGTCAGTGTGGCAATGCATGACTTTGAGAGCTTGCTTCGTAGGTATTCCGTGCAACGCCAGCCTAGTACTTGACGTTCTTCACGTCGGTAAGAAGGCACAGCCGTATTGTATACATGACCGTGCACGTGAAGTGTTATTTCCAGTGCGCACACAACTAACACGAAGCGAGCGCACACCGTACAATGCATACACACTTAGTCCGGTAACAAGAAAAGTTTATTGTCCTTCCGTATGAACGACACAACGTCTAAAAACGCGACACGATTCCTACCACAGTAAAAACGAAAGTTCGCGTTTGTTTTCAGTTGACACAATAAGTAAGAACCAACGCGACGTACAGCTGAGATAGAGTGTACTAGAAGTGTAGCTGAGAGCTCCGCATGAAAATGCCATCAACAGTGAAGCGAACATACGTGAAAAGTGCTTCCAGGTACATTCGTCAGTGCACGCGATTCGCACTGAGAGATGGGCATCGCATAGCTTTTCTAAAAAAAACACGCAAAAGAAGCAGCACATGTTGCACTACGCGAAGTACAGTCCAACCTCAATATATCGAACATGGATGTATCGAATTATTGCCTATATCGAACGGTTCCTATATCACGCGGGAAATCGCATGCATTATTGATTTTTTATTTCGAACAAAGTTTGACATATAATGGATATATAGAACTCAGCCACCCCCAATTGCCCGCGCTCCATTGACAGGCGGCGAGCTTTCCCGCAACTCTCAAAAGTAGCGGTAGAGTGGCGGGTGTTTACGAATGCTGCACACATCGATGGCGCCGAGAGCGCCACTTTAACGTAGCGGCGTACGCGCGCCGCAGCCTTGCGGTAGAGGTTCTTAAATGAGGAAATACGAAGGCACCGACACGGCTTCGCGCGGGGAAGGGGGAGTGGGAGGTAAAGACTGAGGAGGAAAGTATAGGTGGGAAAGGACGCAGACGACTGTCTCGGACGCGGCCCGCGCTGCCGCCAGGAAAGAAAAAGCAGTCAGGCGAGCCGGCATGGGCGCGCCATGTGCGCGCTTTACACCCGGACTCACGCCGCAGCCTTGCAGTCGTTGCAGTCTCTATGGTGTCAACGGCACATTGCGCTCTTGTTGCAAGCTCCTCCCCCGTAGCATCGGCAGGCATCGGTCGTTGTGCTCGCAGTGTTCGTGTGTTCGGAGTTAGGCCTGTCGCGCGCTGGTGCGCGACAGGCCTAACTCCGAACGGCGGAGCTACTGCTGAGCAGCCAAATGAAGACTCTGCCGAGGTGGATCCCGCAAGCGCTGATGGTGCCCCGCTCCCGACATCAGCTGAGGTCGTAACTGCCTTGGCCCTTGTGCGCCGCCACTGCGGCGCGATTGAAGGCACCGGCCTATCACTTATGGATCGCCTGGACTATATTGAGGACGCAGTCGTCAAACACGCCATGGCCAACAAAAAGCGGGCTACTCTTTTTCAATATTTTAAACCAACACAATAAATACTATGTTTGAATCTTCAAGTGAGTATTTACTGCACCACGCTTGAACGGTTCGTTGGTTGTTTTCAGCAAGTTGTTGACGCATTTTTTCCGTGATTTTTTATATCGAATTCTGGATATATCGAACTATTTCGCGATCGCCGCGCCGTTCGATATATCGAGGTTCGACTGTAGTTCGTTTTGGTGCGCGTCCGTAACGCTGGGCCGAAGAGCGGTGTCGTGTCCTAGCCCGTGGCCGTACAGCGCGGACCCATACCTCTCGAGCCAACGCGAGCGTAGTTTGCCCTCGCTCGAGCGACCGGGCCCTACGGTCACAGATCGTGAGAGCAGCGCAGAATTTTCGCGAGGGTGTTTTCCCTCAGCAGCGGGTCACCGTGAATCCCTTTTGCTCACAGAGACGTGCTCGCGGCACCACTTGTTGTTGTACTTTTCGCCCGTTGCGTGGTTAAGCCTCGTTTGCTTTCCCGCCGCCATTTTGCAACGTGCTCTGTACTGCGTTTTTGGTCTTGCCGCAGGCATTAAAGTGTTACGCCCTAATTGAGAGTAGTACTGTGTACTTTCCACGCTGCGTTATGCGCCTTGGCTGTCCGAACCGGCGGGTGCGGCGGCGTTCAGCACGCGACGCGTTGTGAATTCGGCCTTGCGGCTCGCTAAGACAGAAGCCACGCTAATGGCAGTACTCCTTCGGGATGCGCTGTACACTACAAGCTGTATTTTCTGGAGTTTTGGTTTCTTCCCACTTTCTGTATTGTTATTACACATGCGCAAAACAATATTTACTCGCACAACTGTATTGGCTGTTGGAAACGAAGGATTAGAACGCACATAAGGAGGCAAACGCGACAGCGTTCCACGGATGCATTGCCCTGTACTATACACGGCGACAGCTTTTCTGGGCACTGTTATGTCTGCGAGTCCACAGTAAACGTCCATGCCTCTGAAAAGGGCAATCTGTGTCAAGGCCAGCCCGCGAGCCCGCCTGACGCGAACAACTCAACGGCGTCATCACGCGGTGGTGCCTCTCTGCCGCGCACCCACAGTGAGTCACCTCAGCCAGCGAGCCCGTCGAGCAAGCAATCGGCGCCTTCCTGTCTGGCGAGTCTGTGCAATGCGTGGTGACGTCACTCGTCCTTGGGTACAGCCACGTGCAGCGCAGCGTCTTCAGATTCGATGACGCGGCCCAGCGGCGACCCCATTAGAGGATTCTGACCTCACGACCAGCGGCGCTTCTGGTTGGACATTTGGTTACTCAAAGAATCCACCCGGTGCATATAAAAAAAAGCGCTGCGGCGCGTCGCGAGCAGCAGACCTATGTGTTAGAGAGGAGAGCTCGGCTCTTCGGGTCTCTAAGCTGTCAGCCCCAGTGCCGAATTAGTAACGCCTCTGTATATGCTGTACATAAACCTTGTTTAACTCACCGCCGTCTCGTCCGGTCGTCCATAAGCTCTGCGCAGAAGCGGTCGCGAGCTTGTAAACCCACGCTACCAAACGGCTGGTGACCTTCCCGGCGGAGTTCGAAGCAGTGGCGCCTTCGAGACCGTGTTGGCGTCGCCGTCTTTCGTAAACAGTGGCTGCAGCGGTGAGATTCGTGGCGCCGTTCGTTACGTCGTCGGAGGCGCGCTTCGCAACAGCACAGAAGGGAAAGCTACGGAGGCGGAGCCTCTGCACATGTTGCACTACGCGAAGTAGTTCGTTTTGGTGCGCGTCCGTAACGCTGTGGAAAGACGGGGGCGTACCACCAGTGTTTCATGTAGAAGCAGATGCTGCTTAGGATTTGAGGTGCACATAATAAGGCAGGACTTTTTTCACGTGTTCGAAAACTCCAAGTCACAACAGATAAACTTAAAAAAAACAATATCTTACAGGTGTGAGCTGCGTCCCGCCTCAAATAGCTCCACATAGCCAAAAATAATGGAGCAACATTTATATTTCACGTCGAAAATACGGGCGCTACTTTGGAACTACCTTCCCTGGCGGTAAGATGCACGTGATTTGGCTCCATAGCACCATGAAAAGTTGTCGCCGAATATAGGCCATAGAATGCAACCATACGTGGTTGATATACAGCACGACTTGCGGCAACTGCAAGAAACAGATGCGCAGGATTTAGGTTGAACAGGCCTTAGAAGTAGTGTTCCAGCATAGCTGGGAATAGGTTCCACATGCATGCTCCGCAACAAGTCAGAAGAAAATTTCAGCTTAGTGGCTTGGTATTTTGTTTTTCTTGGTAAAATATTTAACTGTAAGGAATGCAAAAAAGTATAGAGAATTTAAAGGTTTGTACTTTTTCAGAGGTTTCTCGTATATATTGAAAAAAATAGTAACGGTTGCACAATGCATCAACTTTCCACAGGTGTGACATAGATCTTCACTGTGCACTCGGTGATCTCTACTGTTGCGCTACTGAACACATGAGTCTCCTGCTAACCTTTGTCACGTACTACATGAATCATGCAGTTGGAGGCACGTTCTACAGTTGCCACAGTGGACGTGAGTGGTGCTGTTTAACCCTCGAAGTTTCTGCATTCATACCAGGAGTTCACGCAAAGTATTTTCACTCATAACAAAACCCTAAATTGACATAATAAGGCCAAATAAAATATGGAAACAGTAAGAACTTAGTACAGTACAGTATCGGGAACTCCTATTGTGATATGTCAGTACGATGCTCCAAACCATAACCAGGCAAATACTTGGAAGTTTTTGTGGCTCGGCTAGTTGGTACATCATTATGAGGGAAAATTTCAGAGGTATAAAACACCACAAGCACGAAACGGCACAGGTTTAAAAGAGCATCACTAAGCCTGCACATTGCTATTCCTGCTCCTGTTAGGGGGAGGTTTTTGAGTGTTTTCTGTTCCTGCCAAAAGCTGAGATTCTCTGGCGTGGGAAAAGGTGGAAGAATTTTGGATAGAAAAAGAAAGAGGAATAGTGTATAAGTGACACACCTGCGGTTTAGCGCACGTCTGAGCTTCAGTTTTGCTCTCCATTGCTCGACTAGATATGTCTTTTCAATGACCTCGTCTTTTGATGCGTAGTGATTGTGTGAGGCAATTTGCACATGTGTGGTGCAGTTTGGCGGTTTGCACACAAGCTAGTTGTGAGTGACACTTTTTTCTTGTACTTCTTCGTACCACTTGTATTTTAGGCATTGAGTACTTTTCCTCATAATAGGCAATCTTACATTTATATTGAATGTTAGACAATTGCAATTTTAGCTAATTTTGTATGGTCCTGAATGGAGAAATATGTAGTTTTCAAAGGACTATGTCTCAAAATGTTTTCAGCAGCAAAACGTTGTTAATCGGAACTCTGGTGTGGAAAAAAAGTGTACAAGAAAATATTGGTACAAGCGAAGTAAAGTTCAAGAACGTGTGTGTGTGCCTACCTAGCTTGTTGAAAAATTTGGTTCCTTAACTGAGTTTCTGGACAAATATTTAAATAATGTAGCCTCTATCGTTTAGGGGAAGAAAGCATGGCAGTGTATGGTGCAACTAGCGCAGTTTTTCAGATACGGTGAAGCTATGGCGGAGGAGAAAATCCCCGTGCCCAGTGCATTGTCGCCGACAGCGCAGCCAGAAAGCATTACGGACTTCGCCTTGGAGCTTCCAGACGAGCTACTGGACATCTCTTTCGTAGAGCCGGATGAGCCCGAACCGACGCCTGCTGAAGATCCTGAGCCATCCTCTAAGCCAAAGAAGCCACGAAAGAAAAAAAAGCAAGAACAAACCTGCCATCCCTGTGCTACGTTCGAGCCGTGGTCGGGTCCTGAAGACCACCGTGCTGTACAACAGTGCGGAATTCAGGGCCGACGAGAAACCATGGACGATACCGTGAGTGGACAGTTGCAAGGCCTTATAGAAGAATCGGTGATTTAGGCTAGTTGATTTTGCCTAATAGTTTTTGACAAACTGCCACATTTAGCGGCCGGACACTGAAAGCTGATGTAAAAAAACCTGACCCCACGTATCCATCGCAGCGTATCGACGCATGTCTTTCTGACACCACGTCAAGCCCTTCCCAAATAGAAAGAGAGAGCACGTGGCTTCACGTAGCCATATGCCCACTCACTAGGGAGAGGGCGTGGCACCACGTCATAAAGCCTTGCGCTCTATAATCATAACTTGTCATAAAGCCCTGCACTTGGGGTCAGGCCTTAAAGGGACCCTCCAAAACTATTAAACCCCCATGTTTTGTTTGTGAGTTGTGTAGACTGCAGTACAGGCTAATGCAGCAAGAATGGCAGTGATCACGGCACACAGTCTGAAGTTATTCGACATAAAAAATTCAAAATACAAGAGCAAAAAAGTGCTGACCCTCGGCTGGATTTTCGCGGGGTAACTTGACCATATTTCACTCACCCTTGACATTGGAGGGCTGCCCCATTGAAATAAGCTGGAAGCTCCTACGTAGAGAAAGCTCGCAACTCATTGTTGCTTGTTTTTTTTTTTTCAAAGTAATGTTGACTTTGTTGCCACAGTAACAAACGCGATGGCTGATGCCTGGCTTGCCAGAACGTGAGCGGGAGCTATACTGTGTCGAAGTGAGTTATTTTCTGCAGTTTTTTACAACATTCCGAGCCACTTCCTTCTCTTATTCTGAGAAAGGAGCTTGTGGATTCACCAGAACAGTGTACTGTTGACCCTTCACGTGTTGATCGGTGTGCGTCCGACGAACAAAAATGGTGCACGGCACACCTTTAACAGCGCACAGTGGAAAGAGACAGCACGCAAACTCCCAAAAGCAAGAAGAGAAAAGAAAGAGAGAGAGGTCTTTCGTATAGACATCTGTATGGATATGATCAACTTCCCACGATTAAACTATCTTTCCATGGAGTCGATTGTTTTTCATTCCGTAGGAATCGCTGAGATAATTGACAAACTAAAACCAAGTTTCACTAGTGGAATAGATCAGATCAACTCTAAATCCCTCAAAAACACGAAAGGATGTTGTTCAATTATTCTAGAGAGTAATTTTTTGCAATCTTATGACTCTAGTTCTTTACCTGAAGACTGGAAAACAGGTAATGTCCCAATTTTCAAATCCGGAAAAAAAGAGTGATCCCTCGAACTTTTGTCCTACCTCACTTACGTCAGTTCTATGTACAATTTTTGAGCATATCATCTTCACGCATTTTGTTAACTATCTAGAGGATAACAGTTTCTCTTTGACCTAGCAACATAGTTTCCGGAAATCTTTCTCGTGTGAGACTTGGCTAATCACATTCACAAACAACCTATATGTATATGTTGACTCTGGCTTTACCGTAGATTGTATTTTTTAGACTTCGCGAAAGCCTTCGACAAAGTTAACTACTCTTTACTGTTGCATAAACTAAGGGCTCTGAATATTGATCCCCAAGTACTTACTTGGATTCGTGAATTCCTTTCCTCCCGTGTACAGTACTTCACAGCCATCGGCTTTGACTTTCCATAAGCAACAGTCGGTTCCGGTGTACCACAAGGGTCAGTACTTGGTTCACTGTTATTTCTGATCTACATTAACGACCTACCTACTATCACTTCATCCCAAGCTTGTTTGTTTGCAGATTACTGTGTCATTTACCAGAAAATAACCAGCGATTTAGACGTGACATCACTACAAAATGATTTAGATACCGTATCACAGTGGTGCTGCACGTGGCATATGCAGCTGAACGACGCTAAATGCAAAAGCGTGCGCGTAACTTCGCGCAACGTCACTTCTCCGTCCTATCTTCTTAACAATTCACCCCTGCGAACCACAGCTTCTTCTTATCGCTAACTTGGTGTTCACATATCAAATAACTTGTCATGGAAACACCACGTCCATTACATATTATCTAAAGCAAACTAAACTTTAGGTTACTTGAAAAGAAAGTTCTATCTTACCCCACCGTCGCTAAAACTATTGTTTTATACCACCTACATTCGCCCTCAACTAGAATACGCCTCAACTGTCTGGGACCCGCACAGCTCTACATTATCACAAAGCATTGAGGCAGTACAAAGTCGCTCTGTTCGCTTTATTTCATCTAACTACGATTGCAATGCTAGTTTCACAAACATGAAAGCTGCACTTATTCTACCTTCCTCAGCAACACGTAGAAAACAATCACCCATTTGTCTTTTTCATAAAATGTACTATCATAACCCTGCTATTCGTTCCTTGTTCATACACCCAGCTCCATTTCGCTCACACCGACTTGATCATCATCACAAGAATGACATACCCTATTTTTCATCAACTGCAGGCTCACAATCATTTGTCCCCAGGACAGTAGGTGATTGGAATCGATTACCAGCCTTCATAACTGATATAACTAATACAACTGCATTTAAAAATGTCTTATCCAGAGTACTGTAGCTCTACTTGTTTATTTTTTCAACGTATTGCACTTTACTAGATTTCTGCGATTATTTTGTATAATGCTTCCAGTTTTACTTTTTTGCTGTTGCTGTTCATGCTCCTGTTTTTACTACGCACGCCCCCACCCCCTTTGTAATATATTTATACCCTGAGGGTACTACAAATAAAAAATAAATAAATGAATAAGTCCAACCCACGCAAGCCAAAATACAGTGGCGAAATGGCAGCCAACGTATCTGTCGTGCTGTGTAGTCACATTGATCTTTTTTTGTTGTGGCCGCATCTGTTCGGGGTTCGATGAAAAAGCACAAAAACATAAACAGATTAATAACCTCAGTTTTTTCCTACACTACGATGGCTTCTAAGGTTACATTTATCCAATCATATGGCGGCAACTTTCTGGCGTCATTTACACATGCAAAGCTCTCGCGAGCGCCACTACGTGTTGATGTGGTCGGCAGCAATATAGTGACTTTATTGCGTGATTAAAATACTAAATCATTTGATATCGACGCTTAGACCTATGCTAAACACATCTCCAGGAATTGGTCTATGCAAACAACAAATGAAAAAGTAGGTGCTTCAGTAGCGTAGGAGGGCCCCTTTATTAAGCTGTAAATGGGCATTCTTTGCTCCTCCAACAGTCCCTAGAACTGGTACGGATGCTGCCTAACTAACTGTCTGGGGTTTCACATCCCAAAACCACAAAACGTTCATGAGAGACGCCAGGTGGAAGGCTCCAGAAATTTCAACCATCTCGTGTTCTCTAACGTGCACTGACATTGCACATTACACGGGCCTCTGCCATTTTGCCTTTATTGAAATGCGACTGCCGTAACTGGAATCGAACCCATTAGCTTCAGGTAAGCAGCTGCCACCACTGCATCGTGGCACACTGGTACAGATGATGCCGGCTGGACTAGGGACAAAGTGTCTACAAGGATCTAATGCCAAGTCATGGTATTTTCTCGTCATTTGTTCCGCCGGTGCCGTTCGCATTACTTCTAGAGACTGTTGGGGGATCAAAGCTTGCTGAAAGGCACGTGGGACAGGTGACATCGTTGGCACGCCTATTTTTCGTGAGTTAAAAAGGTAACTTTTTCTTGATCATGATCTGGCCACTAGATGCAGCAGCCTGTGAAATATGCTACATTTATTATTTCTCGTTTCTTGCTGTCTCAGAATAATGTTGTATCGACCAATTTTATTGTGAGAACTTTCATATGGGTTGAAAGTCTTGGTCGCAGAGGTTTTGTTCTGTATCGTTTTGAAGGGCACGGGCACCAATTTTCAAAGCCAAGTCTACTCTGCTCTACAAATCTTTTTACAGAGGCTGCTTTGATCAAGTGTGAAGCTAAGTGAATGCCAATATTTTATTATCTTGATCTTAAAATCAGTTTTTGCATGGCACACCTGTCGACATCGACAGTAGCATATCTTCAGGCTTCATTATCAATTCTAGTGACTTCTAGACCAGTGTGGTTAGATTTGATGATGTCAGATATTGAAAAAAATGTTATGGCCTCTTGCGCCTCATCAACAAAGCCACAGAGCACACTGGAAACGTCACTATCTTGCACCAGTTGTGATGTCACATTGTACCATTTTGTGATGTCGGGGTACAGTACGAATCAAAACTGTCGTTTAAAAACATGTGATGATTTTTCAGTGCGTAGAAGTACATGTTCTAGACTTTCAAGAACTTGGCCTTTCAATTGATGAAAAAAAAAGTGCACTGGAAAATTTTTTTGCCAATAAACCTTGAAGAGCAGCGTCTTTTTCAGTTTGTACTATAGTTGAACCCTGCTACAACGAAACTGAAGGGGCACGGAAAAAATTTTGTTGTAGTGAAATCGTAAAAATATAGCCGATCTGAACTAGGAAAACAAAGAAACGTTTATTCTCAAAATTTAAAAAGTGTCCGCTGCTTTTCATTCTATCCCAGCAGCATCACAACACGATTCTCACCCATGCACATCGAGTTCATGGTGAAAAGCACGCTGAAACAGTGACTATAACCGCTTTCGTGAACGAACCAAACAGTTGCGTTAACACGTTAACACCAGCAGCTGTCCGCCATCAAAACGCCGAGATGGCAGCAGGGTATCGTGAAGCGGTGACTTTTGCCTTATTTTATGCCATTCTTATCATCCATCACTCGGGGCTAGCTGATTTTGTTGATAATGCAAACAGCTGCTCTGATTAGTTACCACACTCGCCAAGTGCGAACAAAACAATAAGCATTGGAATCGGGAAAAGGCATCGTTTCGCAGATGCACCAGCAGCTGCATGAAGGAAACCATGAACTAGGCTTCAGCTTTGGATCGTCTGCGGCTGTACAGTAAACCCAGTTTTTAACATTTTGATGCATTTTCAGAAACTGAAAATACGTTGACGAAGTCTAAAATACGTGTTGGCAGCACCAGAAACCACCGCTGTTCAGCAAGCGTGGGCGTCGCCATTTCTCAATAGCGATGGCAATGAGGCTGCCCTCCTTTTGGCAAAGCAGGGCAGCCTCATTGCTATCGCTATCGAGCAATGGTGGCACTTATGCTTGCTTAACAGTCATGGAGGAAGGATGTTAACAGCGGTGGTATAGTGTACTAGCATATTCTAGTACACTATAGCGGTGGTTTCTGGTGGTGTCTACGCATGTTTTAGACTTCTTCGCCTAATGCAGGTTCTGAAAATGCCTCAAAATGTTAAATATTGGGTTTATGGTATAGCAATAAATATCTGAGCCTGGAATTGCATTGTGAAATTTCGTTGAAGTGGGATGGCAGAAGAAAAAATGTTCGTTGTGGCGACAATATTTATGCATTGACTCCTATGAACTGCTGACGGGGAACCGTGAATTTTTCGTTGTAGCGGGATTTCCGTTAATGTAGCGTTCATTGTAGCGGGGTTCAACTGTAACAGGGCTGAACTCGGTATCCTGTTGAATAATGTAAATCGTTACCGCGGGATCTTGAATTCTGCCAAATTATGATGGAATCACACCCTGAAATTGGCAATCTAAGAAAATTTGAGGGCCTTGGTGGCTACTTGAATAAGCAGTACTCACCGAACGTACTCGCGGAGTAGCTCCTTGAGTACGTTTTGTATCTATGCTCATATTCATGATTTGTAAACCGATGTCGCTCGTGCCTGACTTCTTCTGCAGAGAACGTAAACGCCTGCTGGCTGCGCTGAAGGAGCATGGAAGCAGGGACATCAGCAAGCTGTCCGAGGCTGTTCGCACGCGAAGTGTTGCTGCTGTCAGGTGAGCTGGCTGTCGATCTCCAAGAAGACAGTGTTTAGAACTTCAGAGAGCGAAGTTGTTTGGTATGTATATTATGTTCAAAGAAGGGGCATGCAGACATGGACTAGAAAAAAAAGTCAAGGCACCACTCAATCCCTGTAATATCTGAAGAGGTGCACGGTGGCAGAAAAGAAAGAAGGCATGAAAACATGTCTACGCATGCACAGGCAAGAGGCGAAACCTGTCGAATTCTGTACATGGGGGGTCCACTATAACTATTGAGATATTTTGATTCTCTCTTTGTGCAAGTTAATCGACGATTGGGTCACTCATACGCTAGTACCACTATAACCAAAATGCAGTGCCTTCACTGTTAGATGCTATTTTTGTCATTCCTTTGCCATTACAAAACTGAGCATTCATCAAATTTCAATGTGCATTTACTCTCTGGATATCGATAAGATATACTAAATAGGAAGTCTTCTTCTTTTTACCCTAAAGCTAGTTGTTTTTCAGGTTTATTGGGCCTAAAACTTCATATGCCCCTCACTCCCACAGGGGCTTGCGTAAGCTCAGTTATCCAGAAATACTGCGTTATGCCACAAAAGCAAAGTGCCTGTAGTAACCTGGGAAAACGGTCAAAAGCTGATATCGTTAGAGAAATTTTCAAGTGTTTGGCGTCATTGCTCATCTGTTAGAAAAACATGTCAGGAGAAATCGATTGTACGAAATGGGCAGTTCTGGGTTTCCTCGGCCTTTCATCATATCTCTGTTTGGGAAACAGTAAAAAATGCACTTTGACAAAATGTGTTCCTGGGCTAGTTGGTTCCTTAAAAAGCAGCTGTAATTGATTTCGTGAGACGATGTGAAGATATTGTGATATGTGGCTTATTATGTACCTCTACTACGTGTGGGTCCATGTTGCCTACAGTGATATTCAGAGGCGAAGTCTTTATTCCTGCGTTGATGTTCTTGTCTAATGAAAAGTTTGTGCTTTGTTATGCTGTTACTTGAAGAGCAGAAAATTTTCAATCTTTAAGACAAAAATGCAGTACGGCCTGTACTGGAAAGGATGAGGTATGGAAAGCTTAGGTTGGTAACACTAAATGTGCTGGCTGACTTTGCGAGAAATCTCCCTATTCTAGAGTAAAGTAGTGGATTCATATCTGATTTTAACTTTAGCACCACTGGCTGACGTGTATGAAAGTGGTGCTATTTAGAAGGTCTATAGGTTGATGTTTGGCACACAACTGTGAAAAAGCTTCTTAGTAACACGTTCTTACCTTAAGACAGCTGTCGCTTAATGTGCTAAGAATGGTTCCTTCACTAGGCATAACTGTCTTACACGCTCAGTTGGGCTTGCGATAATACAACAGTGCAGAAGGAATAGCAATCTGAGTATGTTTTGGCTTGTGAGAGCAATGGCTCGTATTCATATGTTCAGACAAACTTATATTGATAGGTGCACACTGGGCATTCATAACTGCTACAGCTAGTACTTTGCAACCTTGTCACAAAAACTCTTTGCAATGAAGTTTACGTACAATTAATTAAAGCAAGTTTCAATTAAATTTAAGTTCATATCGTTTTGTTTTACTCACGGGAAAGAAGCGTCGCGAATCTCGGAAGCGTAATCCATCCAAAGTTGATCCGAAGCCTGTACTTCCCATAATTCCCATGTGGGTACAAGCCCCACTGAGGAGCCTGAGTAGACATTAGCGCCAGATTCCCCTCTAGGTATTATTGTATGAAACTCTATGCGTGAAATGTATTCACTCTCTCTAGGTATGATAGCAGTGCATGCTAGTGTCGCTACTGTGTAATTTTAGCACACTATAGAGCACAGCGATGGCAGACTGAACCATTTCTCGGCAAAAAGCGCATTCGACCCAAATACTAAACCTGTACTAACAAGTTGCTGAATTATGAAATAGTGTCGACACTGGCAGTTTAGAAGAGAATGAGGATTAGGCTCTATATCAAAGGAGAACTACAGTCGAACTCCGCTATAACAAACGCCACTTCAATAAAATTTTCCCTACAATGAAAAATTCACAATTTCCCCTCAGCAGTCAATGCATGAATATTGTCCCCACAACGAACATTTTTTCGATCGTCCCACTTCAATGAAATTTTACGATGCAATACCAGGCTCAGATACTTATTGCTATGCAGTAAACCCAATCTTTAACATTTAGATACGTTTTCAGAGCCTGAAAATGCGTCAACGAAGTCTAAAACACGCTTTGGCACCAACAGAAATCACCGCTACACCACTACTGTTCACCAAGCATGGTCGTCGCCATTTCTAAATAGTGATGACAATGAGACTGGCCTACTTTTGTTTTGCCTCTGGCTTGTTTTTGAGCTGCAGATGATTTGAAGCTGAAGCTCAGTCGCCCAGTTCATAGTTTCCTTTTCGCAGCTGCTGGGTGAAACCGCGACAAGATGCCTTTTCTGATGCTTATCATTATGTTCGCACTTGGCCAGTGTAGTAACTAATCAGAGTGGCTGTTCATCCGCATTATCAACAAAGTCACCTAGCCGCGAGTAATGGATGATAAGAATGGCATAGAATAATGCAAAAGTCGCCGCTCTACAATGCGCAGCGTCCATCTCGGCGTTGTCGTATACTTTTGACGGTGGACAGCTGCTTCTGTTAACGTGTTAATGCAACTGTTTGGTTCGCTCACAAAAGTGGTTTTAGGCGTTGTTTCAGCCTGCTTTTCACCATGGCCTCACTATGCATGGGTGAGAATCGCGTCGTGATGCTGCTGGGAAAGAATAAGAAGCAGCGGACATTTTTTGAATTTAGAGAATAAACATTCCTTTGTTTTGCTAGCTCAGCTCAGATATATTTTTTTCGATTTCACTAGAATGAAATTTTCGCTTCAACAAAATTTTTGCCGCACCCTGTCAGCTTTGTTGTGTCATCTTTAATACCTATGTAAATATGTGTACATAACTCCAAAATATTTAATTTTATATTTATGTTCTACCACTTGTATATTCGCATCTAAATAATTTTTGTGCACTTGCTGTATAACAGTGAAGGTGTTTTATTTTTCTTGTGGTAATTTTAACACGAGAAACACACCACTCCCCTGAAATCACTACAAATCATTCAGAATCAGTATATTAGATTAATCACGTTTAGTTTTGTTGTAGCGGGGTTCGACTGTAAATGCATCCAACTGGCAGTTAAGCTGAGGAAGGCATGGGAAACATTATATATGTCATTTTTAAATATAGTGTTGTAAGTATGTATCATTTTTAACTGCAGTGTAGTAACCGTAATTATTGCACTTGAAGCAAAGTGAACATAACGTAGTTTTCAAACTCTTTTAAACTTTGTGTTTAATAAGTACTGATGCTAGTGTCATTGATGTGGTTATTTTTCCGGTGGTTGTTGCAGTAGGAGCTTTTGATCATGTGAGAGAACAGTTTGCCTTGCTCCGTCCACCTGAGCGCACTAAAAGTGCAGATGTGGGAATGAATTAACTGAAGTATCTGGTTCCTTTGGCTGAGCCGTGCTGGAACTATGCACTTAGCTGTTCATAGTGTTGTTCACTGTTTGTTCAAGGTTTTTTTTCTCCAAGCCTGTTTGGTATCTCGGGGCTCCTCCCCTTACCAGGCTAGGGCATAGCTTGTAAATAA